TCATACCCGGGAAAAAACCTGTTATTTTTACCCCGTAATTTTTCCTTTTTCGTATCCCCAAGTAGCAACAGGGGCCCCTCCCGGGTAATATCAGCTTTATATTTTCATAGGCTTTTTAAAAACTATGCGGTAAGACCCCCCCCCCCCCCCCCCCCCAAAAAAAACAAAAATTACTTTTTAGTATAAATAATTAGGTGAGTAAAATGTGGCTAAAACTGTAAAAAGCGGGTGGCTAACCAGCACCCTGGCTCAGTCTTCTATTAGTTTCAGCTGAAAAGACAAATACAACTAGGCTTCCTTGGTTCCCGCTCCCCTGAACACATCTCGTTTTAAACCGACGAAACGTCACAGATTAAGTATGCCTTATCTGAATATTGTGGTAAAATGTATTTAAAATGTATTTAAGAATTTTCTTGAGAAATCCTGAGAAAAGGTGGTGCGAACTTCAGAACAATTCTACTTGATTTTGTTACGAAACAGTCTGTCTCACTTTTGCATAAGGAACTACAGACCTTGGGAAAAAATCTTAAATATAACTTTCACTCACCTGGTTGTTAACAAACTGCAAGAGATGATAAATAAAATAGCAAAACGAGTGCATAGAAACATCACTCGGTCTAAATTAGACAGAGAGCCTCACAAATTCCTTGTTACCAGAAACTGAGCGAGTGAACAAATGATTAATGTGATACGCTAGTGAGAGCTAAAAGTAAACTGTTTCAGAGCGTTTCGGACTTTTAAGCTAATCTCTTTTCATTCTTCTCCAATCAGCGATAATCAATAATGTAGCATTGCCAAAAGCTAGAGAGGAAGTTATTTTTTATCCTTTTAGGGAAGACAAACGTGCCTTTCTCTTCATCTGGAGTAGTGTTCTAGAACCTGATGACTGAAATATAGGAAACAGTTCCATCGCTGACCGACAAAACATGACTTTTGTTGATCTTCCGGCCGAGCTGTTCAAAGCTGGGTCAAGATACAGCTGGAGCATAATGTTTTGCTTGTTAAATTTTTCGACTTTCCTTAAATTTCCTAATGAAACCAATTGGACGAATGTAAACATGCTTTTCATGACATTCTATATCATCACCTAATTAATAAAGTGCAGTGCTACTGGGAAAGTCTCGAGCAATATATTTAAATTGAACACTGCATGCAGTTTTTATTACAAACTCGCTGAAAGTGCTAAATACTTAAAATGCGACTCAAAGGATAGACGGTGAGCTCCCTTCCCTTTATCCTTTCTCCCCTCCCCTCCACCTTCCCTTGTTGCGCCTGCCACGCAGGCTACTTACTTGTTGCACTGCCGGCTCAGCCTCGTTCCCAGTCGTCCTCTGTGACTTCGGATGTGACGTCACTGTCAAGCTTGTCGCGTTCGGTTTTAAGCCTCCTCTGGTAACTCGGATAGCACGAACAGGCCTGGGTCAAGGCTGCTACCGGTTGTTATGAAAGAGGAGTATCTAATTCCTGGGTCAGGTCTTGAAAGTGTCGCGAAAATCGAATATTTTTTATCTGAAATCGAGTAGAAATTTTTAAAAGGACACTACTGACATAATCCTCTAGTTTCGCATCCCTTCCCGCTGACAGGATTCGCATTGACCACAACCACACACCGCTGTAATCTCAGCAAATTATCTGCAAACGAGAGACGTCTGGGTAGACAAAAATGGGCCTTGGCCTCTAAAAGAGATCTAAAAAACAGTAACAAATAAAAGAAAGATTAAAGAAATAAAAACTCTCTTGACAAAACAAAATTTCTTAGAGGACGTGATATGTTATTGGGCACAAAAAATCATGCGTGACGGCAATAAATTAAAACCGCACCTTTATTTTTGGGGTAATTGTGGGTTTAAACACCTCCTTCAGTGAGAACATGATTATATAAAATAGTTTTTGGGGCCGATAGAAAGGAGCTGCAAGGCCACTTTGCTCTCAGTGAGCAGGTTTCCTTTTCGATTATTGGCTTTAAAAGAAACCTTAATACGAAAACTGTGAGGTAAAGTACATGTAATGACACCTGAGCCCTGTTTAGATCAATCATCTTTAAAGCAATTTAACCGATATTGGAAACCGGCTGAGCTTTTCTTCAACTTGTAAGTTTTGATTTAATTCTTTAATTGTATGTAGGTCTCCTGCAATATTAATAATAGGCCAAAGTTACATTTCGTTTACTTAACAATCTAATGGCTTTGTGACGCTTGTCATTAAAGTGACACATAGACTAGACAATGTTTTTACTCAGTGGCAAATAATAATTACAAACAATATATAAACAGGCTAGGTCGGTAAACCTTTGCTCAAAATAAGTTTGGTATTGAAGACAAAATTCTATTTTAAGCCCACCGAAGAACAGAGGAGCCACAATATTATCGCCACATCATAATGTCACTTCTGGCTTTGGTTTTGGGCCTTCTTACATTGCAAATAGTAGTGCCAGCTCAAGGCGAAATAGGTAAGTTGAATACTTGTTAAACAAGCAGGCAATTTTTCTATATCGTGGCAACTGATCAGTAGACTGATGAGGTGTCTAAGGTTCAGTTATGTTCTCTCTTCAACTCGTCTGAGGTAGCTTTCTTGTCAAGTTGTTTTTTTAAGGGCTACAAACCTTTCAAAAGAAATTTATGCTGAGTATGTACACATCCCCACTAACAGATGAGTACCTCTATTAAGCTTCGATTTTATCAGCCATACGTAAGGTTTTCATTTATAGCTTCAAAAGTAATACCTTACAAAACAAACTAGCAAGAACGAAGTATTTAAGCATCGTAAAAAGAGAATTATTCAACGTGCCTGGAAAGCAATAATTAACGTTAGACATCCATCCATCTAGATGATTATGCCAGTCCGCAGTATTCAACGATATTACAAGGATTAATTTGGAGATCAGAAAAACACGGATAACGATCAAAGATACCATGGTCTTAAGTTAAGAAAAAAAAAACTCATCTATAAATGAAACAATACATTACCTTTAATTTCATTATCGAATTAAAAGAAAAATTGACATACAGACAGAACAATGACCGTGATTTCGTGCAGATTGGAATACTAATTGCTTGCCGCAATTGGGAAATTATGCTCTTAAAATATCGGTAGTCAGTAAAGAAGAACTTGACCATTCCCAATTTAACAGATGAAATTTTTATTAGCTTTGCTATGATCGATAACTAAGTGAGGGAATTGCTTTCAGTTTCAGAGCTCCATTCTTTGGTATCCTAGCAACGGACTATCTTTAAAATATTTTTCTTCGAGAAAGCCCCGGAATTGAGCAATTATGAATCCTAACCGCGGATGTTATTCAAGGTTAAAAGAAAAATGAAATTAAGAAAATTCAGGGATTGCTTTACTATAAGAGCGTACTAACTGAGTATGAAGACTTGATCGGAAGTTAAAAAGTGATTACATTTGGAATTTAGTATAAGCGCATACTAACTTTACGCAGACTCGGACGCTACTAAAAAAATGTATTTTTTTATTATGCTTCTCAGTTTGTCAGGACTTGCAGGACGAGATTCTTTGTAGTGAGGCAAAGAAGGCAGGAAACTGTGAACAAATGCCTTGGAACGGAAAATGTCGTAAGACTTGTGGACGCTGTGGTACGTTTATAAACACTTTACATGGTCTGGAAGGAGAGTGGGGTGGAAGGGGGGGGGGGGGGGGCGTAAGGCGGCGTTGCGGCCCCTTGTTTGGCGAATCATCGGTCGGACACTCTCTATTATCTTTTTTGTACACTGTTGCTTTTT